TTTATTTTCTATTTTCTATTTTTTAGAGAAGAAAATAAGAAAACACAAACAAAAAACCGAGGTCAATACCTCATCAAAGTGCCGTAGTAGAAGGTCAAACAAGAGAGAGACAACACCGAGAGTCAAACAAGAGAAAGACGACACACAGGGAGACGAAGGAAGCTAGAGAAAGCCTCGAGGCTGTCGGCTAGGGCTGAGAGACTGCCAGTGGCAGTCAGCAAGGAAGACGACAAAGCCACAGAAGTCGACTTAGTCCAGAAGAGTTGTTGACAGGGACCTTCGACAGTGAACAAGGGGTTCAACTAAGCAAGATGGCTGTCGGCCAAAACCACCGTGGTCGACTTAAGGCCAGAAGGCCTGTCGACAGTGACCAATTAGTGACTGGGCACCTGCGACTTAGGGCTGACTCCGACAAGTTTGTGGTGGCAGTGTGGTGTATGGTGTAGGGCTGACTCCGGCAGGTTTATGGTGGTTGTGTGGTGTATGATTTAGGGTTTAGGGTTGTGGCTCTAATACCATGTTTATTTTAGAGAATACTAAGATTAGGGAATGATTAGGATATCATCCCCTATTTAAATTAATGAAGATTAATAATTACAAGGAAGCATTACGGCATAGAATAATTACAAAATAATAACCCAAATAATACTATATTATTCTAACAAATTTGACTAGGAGAAACTTTACTCAACAATCCAGACTGAGCTAAAGACCGTAAGCGGTCAACAAACAAATGACCTAGGCGAAAATGCCATAAATAAAACCAACTCGACTGAGAATCTAACTGAAACGAGGAAAGTGCAACTAGAGAGGTGGATAAAGGGAGATGCAAGTTTTCTACCACATACAGGTCTCCAACTCTATGGCTGGTCCCAATCTGCTTCTTGGACACCCGATCCTACACACAACAGACAGCAGAAGAAAAAAAGATAACATCAAAGCCAGAAGCATTAAGTTGATTGATAGATAATCAACTGATAGATAGCCGAGGGACATAAAGAACAAAGAGAATAGTAATAGCAGACATAGCAGAGTTTAAGACAGATTCAATAGACAGAACAAACATACCAGACCTATTAGCAGTATTAATAATAATAGGAGTGGATTGGGGAATATAGTTTCGAAATAAGGAAAGGTGAGGAGTTATATGATGAGAGACACCAGAATCAAAAAGCCAGATGGAAGCAAGGACACCTGAAGAAGACCCAATCAAACCTGAATGAAGAAAGGTAAGAGCGGAGGTAGATGGGGATAACTAAGAGGTGGACAGAATATGCTGAAGTTGAGCAAGCTGAGCACTCAAGGAAGCCAAGTCACGATCTGAAGTCGGAACAGATGCAGTATAAGCAGCAGGAGGCCGAAAAGTACTCAAAGTAGGATTGCAGAGCTGTGTCTGAGGTGGCTGGGACGGAGCAGGCTGACATCCCTTCTTGGGAGAGTTGTATTTCCAATGACCCCTCTAATGGCAGAAAACACACTCATCTGGACCTAATGGCCCCTTTTTGGGCTTTGCAGTGGCTTGAAGCTAATGAAGAGGAGTTGATAGCAAAGAAGGCTTAGCAGGAGCCAAGAAGACAGAGGGAGGAAGAATTTGACTGCCCATCTTTAGACGGACGGGGTTTCCTTGAAGTAGAGCTCATGAACAATAGCATCCACAGAGAGAAAAGGAGACCGATGAAGGATGCCATCACAAATAGCCTCATACTGAGGGAAAAGAGCCGTTAAGAAGTGCGTTAAACGACCCTGCTCCTGAAACTCAACATAAGTGTCTAGTACCTTGAGGCTAGATGGTTCCATGAGAACCAAATGATCCCAGAGACCTGTCATCTCAATATAGAAATCCTGAATAGTCTGATCCCGCTGACAAGCACTCTGAATAGCTGTTTCCAACTCATACCGCTTGGCAAAGTTAGACTGCTGATAAGCACCCAGTAAATAATCCCACACCTCCTTAACAATACTGTATTTGGAAAACATCATTCTAATACGATCATCAACAGAATTATGAAACTAGGTCAAAACTTGGACATTATCATAATCCCAAGTATCACAGGAAGTCAGATATCCTTCCGCCTTTGGGTCCAATAGACGAGGAACAGAACCAAAAACATAACCCCATTTTTTCTGACCAAGAAGAAAGTTCTTCATAACACTGGCCCAATAGGCATAATTGTCACAGTAAGTTTGCACTTGATGGCTTGGTTTTTAGTGTCCAACATTGTAATAAAACAAGGTTTATAGAATTAATGGGTCAAAATTATAATATTCAAAAGGTGCTGGGGTCGAACAGTAAACCTAAAATAGGTTTTAAGTGTACTAACAAAATCAACTGGAGAACCACGAGCAGAGAGACAGTCGGAGAAGACCAGAAGAAGTTGCAAAGCACAAGGTGTCGCGACTCCAGAACCAGAGAGAGACACCTCTTACGAGTGTAGAATAGTGACAAACTCAGAGGATGTTGAGGCTAATCACGCTACGGTTTCAATAGCGATGACGGATGTGAGTTGGGAAAGAGAAGGTGAGTACGATCGCGACTCCAAAGAGTGAGAAAGGTCGCGACCACGGCTGCGATTCCAAAGGGAGGTTGTCTGATGGCCACGTAGGTCGTCTGATGGCCACGAACCAAAGACTAAACCAAAAGGGTTGATTCAAACTCAAATGAGGACTAGGGTTTCGAATACGGCTCTGATACCATGTAAGTTTCTGAAGAATATTATATATTCAATTGTTTTCCAATTACATCAAGACCTTAGTTTATATAACCCTAACGCCTAAACCAAAAAGGAAATACGAGATTTACATAATCACAATCATGCCTAATATTTACACAATCAGAACTATATCAAATCTATAATATATACGATTATATTCTCACAAGGTTCACCCCACATGCTCAAGTTTCACAAATTCTAAATAAAAATAAATAAATAAAATTTTTAAACTAAACAACATTTAGGCCTTATTTGTAAACTTGACTTTTAGAGTTAAAAAAATCCAAAAGACTAGGGAAAAAAAAGAAAAAGAAAAAAGTAAAAAGGTAAAAAAAAAATGAAAATTATAAAAATACAAAGCTAAAAGGCTAAAAAAATAAGTCATACATACCAGTCAATATGGTTTTTCATACAACTAAAAATTATTATCAAGTACATCAACTTTTTTCACCTCATGAAATAGTTAAAAAACCAAAAAATTATTTAAAAAGTCAAACGCCAAACAAGACCTTAAACTTCTCAAACTAATTAATTACAAAAATATTATACTATTGTCTTAACAAAAAAGAATATAAACTTTTACAATTGTATTCGATGAGGTTTTATTTTTTAGAATTGATTCATAATAACTTCATTGTCAATAATGTCAAACACATTTTCTTGTATATATGTAATCAAAAAATTATTTATTTATTGAGGTCAAACTATGTAGTGGGGTCCCTTAATTTTTTAATGATATTAAATCATATTAAATAAAACATTAACAATATAAAATAAAAAAATTAAGAGTTTTTGATAAGTTGATGGGGTGATGGGACCCCATCAATTATTAGGTGGAGTTGCCCCTACTCTGGACACGACCTTTTTGTTCGTGACCTAGTGCAATCGCATCTGCTATCCTAGGAGCGGCAATGTTTACCCAAACCCATAAACCTGCCCAATAAATGAGTAAAGATCCAACCCATTTTAGATATGAGTCATGATTCACTCATACCTATTTAAAAATAATCCTAAATGGGTAAGCCCTAAGTTACCCAACATTAAATGACCCAACAAAACTTGATCTTTTTTAACCGGCTCAACCACTGTCACCACCTTTGCCAACCCCACTACCATTACTCAATACTAGAAACATAAAGCTGTTATATTATAAATAAATAACCATAGTCCTGCCTAGTACAATTAATATACACCATCAGATTTTTAAATGCATTTGATCATAATAACAAGCTACGTTGGCTGTAGTAACGCCAAAGGAAGACATTCAAATATTCCTAAATTAATTGACTCACTGGGCAACCATGTTGTTGTGTATTATGTATTCATCATGAGTTCTCACAGACATTGCTTGCATTAATCCTTCCATTGATCATTGGTCAAAAAATAAAAAACAACTGGAGAAACCTACAATTAGATAACTAACTGTGAAATCTTTCACAATTAAATTCTGCACTGATCTTAAAGTTAACTCTTAACAAATAACCGAACCCAATGAGCCATGACCACCAATATGAAGCGACCTTAAAGAATTACCAGATGTAGTTTATTTACACAAGTAATCCTCGGTGTATGCTACACACGAGCATGCTCCTTTTCTCATTGCTTGTGAGATGACATTTGCATTGTTTTCTCATTGTTTGGCGGCTGCAGCAGTGGTAGTGGTGATGGTAGGACGGCGGGGGTGGTGCTAACATGGTGTTTAATTTTATATGTAAATATATAATTGGGTTAATGGGCAGGTTGAGTTTGGCTTTAAATAATGAGGTGGGCTGGATATGGATAAAAAACAGCTAGCTAAATGGGTAATAGAAAAACCCAACCCATTTACAACCTGCCCAAACCCATATGATTGTCACCCCAACTATCGCCCCCAGCATTTGAACAAGGGTTCGAGTCACGTGAATCAACCCCTCCACAAAAAAGTGGAGATAAGGCTGCCTACAATTACCTCTCCCAGACCATGCTGTAAGCAGGAGATTTATGCACCAAGTAGAATATTTTTTCCTAAAAAGTCCTTTGGGAAGGGAAAGGGAAACGGACAGAGTAACCAATTCAACTACTCAATTAAAAAATAAGGTCACAAAAGTAATTATTTTGAACACTTTAGTTTTAAGTAATCAGATTGGATATCTGAACAACATTTCCGTAAAGATGGACCATAATTTCAAATTATTGTCAATGTATTTAACCTACAAATAACAACTACAATTCTTATTAATAAATAAAAAAAGCTGCAGTATCTCAAAGAAAAAATGTAATACAATCATGAGCAGCAACAAGAATTCTTACATCCTCATCATTCAGAGCACCCCAATGAGCATCAAGAACTTGATTTACTGGGAAGTCATCCATTGGTTCCACAGGATAAACATCACCCTTCATGAATGAACAAAAATGTATAAAATACTCAACCCACAAATGCAATATAACAAACATAAGTTTTGAACATGAATAATATAAATTACATTTAAAGTTAGCACTAAATTAATAAGGTGGGGGGGGGTAAACACCAATAATGGAATAACCCCAGGAGAAAATGTACAAAATGGAATTTAATTGTGTAACTAGTGCTAATACCAGCAAAACATAATGTTCCAAGGAGGAAATCATGTAAACCTTGTGGCTAAACTCCATAGCAGAGGCAATTAATCAATTCGCTTTGCCCATATAATTTCTTTATATACTACATTAACCAAAAATCTGAGAAAGTTGCATACACTGAGCAGGGGAACTACAACAACACTAATTAATGGAAAAGAGTTTTAGCCCAACAGCAAATTGTTCTCCAATTATTAGATCCATACTTCTAGAAATTTCTCCAACTAATATACACCCATGCGAAAGTGATCGAGCTAACATTCGATTCACGATGCAGGAGGGTTTAGCATGTCATTTTTCTTAGTTGGAACTTGGGAGCAGCACAAATATTTCACACTTCCGGATTAAACTTGCATATGACTTTTCCAAATCATTCCTTATCGTTTAGCTAAAATTGTGAATCGTATTGAATCTTTAATCATAAGATCCACTTTATTTAGCATAATATATCATTTTATATTATACATACATATTCAAACATACAGTGTTAAAAATTAAATAAATATCAATTTAACTACACTCTATATGTGTATATATATAATGTATATCAATATAATTAATTGATCACTTTTTATTTTGAAAAAGCGACATTGTTTCATGCATTATGCAAACAAAATTGAATCGCAATGAATCGTAGTGAATCGCAATTGATTCATACAATTCACTCAATCTAAGAATCAACAACACAAACCGAATTGTTTTGGTTGAAACTCATATAGAATCATATTAATTGGATTATGAATCATAAGATTCTAACAACCATAACCACAAGCATGAAGATAGGATTAGTCAAGTGATGTTCATTGAAAACTCAAGTGTATACATATGAAAACCAGCACATCCCAGCAACATAAAACAATTTAGCATCTTGAATCATTCAAGTCAATATCATATCAATTGAAACTAAACCATTATATGAGGAATTGTGAATTGTGTCAATGAGTTTTTTTTTTTTTTTTTTTACTTTTATCCCTTTAGCACCTTTCCTAGACTAGAAATACTGCTCTGTTATTATAATCGTACGATGCAATTCGATTCACTAGGTAACCGACATGTACAGGTTGCATGAATTGCATATAGTTGTGAATCATGGGTAAATTAATGAATCGTTGAACTGAATGAGTGAATCATGAATCGATCGATTCACTTTTGATTCGCTAAAATCGATTATTAGCATTTTTTTTTTACTTTTTAACTGTAGGAAAATGGTTTTCGCAACCTTTTTAACGCCTTTATGGTTACTATACGCCATACTTTGACTTTTTCCCTCCATATTTACTCTGAAATACGCAAATCCCAGAAGGAGGAAAACAAAAACAAAAACAAAAACAAAACCAAAACAAAACAAAACAAAACAAAAAGAACCTTCTCTATCTACGAATTCTAGGCTTACAAATTCAACTTTATCCAAGTGTTTGCACTTAAAAAAAATATATCTTTTGAAGTTATAAAGTGAGATTTTTGAAAATTTTGGAGATTTGGGTTTCTTTACCCCTTGAAGTGAGTGTACTATTAGTTCAGTTGTAAAAAAGTATAAAACATTGCTGTTGAGTTACTTTTACTTAGAAATTGAGAGTTTGTCTTTGTTTACTTTCTTTATTAAGAATGGTTGATAAGAAAAATCTAAAAGGACAAAAGGTAAGATGGTTATCTTACATAGAAGTTTTGTTAACTTCTTACCTAATAGACAATATGATCATCATTCAAAAACAACATTTTCATTGATTTAAGTCTAAATATTTCATAATTATAAATCATATTTAACATCAAAGTGTATAGATATATTTTTCCAAGTAATTTAGAAAAAAGTGACCGAATCTTTATGATTCACAATTCGATTCAATTTATTTTTTCATACAAGGCCATTTCAATTCACAATTCAAATCTCGTTTTGACAACTATCCATAAGGGCAAATGATAATACACCCAACAGCCCATCCCTTAAACAAGACACAGATAATTACACAACTTTAAGGTTATCTTTGAATGACAGGAACCTTGAAGGGGAATGAGAATCTCAATACTAGAAATAAGATTAGCAATAACAAAATCCATGTGCCAATGCTATTTACAAGTTATATTTAACATCTAAGTATGTAGATATATCTTCCTATGTAATTTTAAAAAGGTAACCAAATCTTTAAGATTCACAATTCAATTCGATTCGCGATTCAGTACAAGGCCATTTCAATTCACGATTTGAATTCCGATTTGACAACTATGATGAAATGATCATGCTTAAGAAGAAAAGACCAAGTGACCATTCCTTTATCCTGATCTTGGTCAAAGATTCTCCAGTTGTACTCTTAGTTCAACAACTTCATCCACTATCACTTTATCATCATTCCACAAATCAAAAATCAGACAATTAGCATGGGTAATTTTAGATAAATACAAAAATATAACAAGCAAATGAGCAAATCAGAGTACTGCAATCGTAGAAAATGCATATTTTTAAAAGAAGAATTAATCCATATCCAAGTTTCTTCTGAACTGATGAAGAGGTGATGAAGGATGGATGAAAATTCTGGTCGGATCACACCTGATTTCTGTTCATTTTCCATTTTTTCTTGTTGGCCTAAATCGAGTATCTGTCTACGCTTGCTTGTATTGTGCTGTAAATACAGGTAGGAGATATAACATCATTTGATGTGAGGAATTGTAAGAATTTTTTTTTTTTTTTTTTTTTTAACCAATAACCAAAGGAGTGTGCACTCTGGCCTCAACAAACAGACAAATAATAAGCATTCAAACTCAAAAAAAATCTATTAATTTTTTGGAAAGGGAGAGGCTACACGAAGGCCACTAACTTGCACACATTAATTCTACTAATAGAAAGGGAGAGACTACAAAGCCAACATTAATATTCGTCCCAAAAATGTTCAGGTATTGAGGAATCTACTATAGTAATTTATGATAACAAATTGTAGAGGTGGTCAAGTAAATTATATTTTGTTAATATTTTTCAAAAGTGGGGGTTGCACATTATGAGTTGACAACAATAATTACAAGATGAAGAAAATCGGAGATTGTAGTGACTAAAATATTCAATTTTATATTTAATCTAGAAATTAAGACCCAATCACATTATCTTGCACTTATATAATTACATTATAAAGTCAGTTACATCATTTTCCAAAACTACTAATTTTATTTGCACGAGCTTTGCATGTGCCTACTACTAGTTTTTCTCTTATACTAATTGAAGAAACAAACACACTTAGCTAGGACAACAGTAGGAGGCATTATTTAGATAAATGCATACCCTAACAGATGTATCAGATTCTTCATTGCGTTTTCTCTTTATGTCCCATACAGAAATGTCTACCGGCATTGTTGTTTCAAGGTCTGGATATGAAGCTGCTGAATATCGCCAAAAAGGAGCAGACTCCCCCATCTTTTCCCTTCTCAAAGCAATCTGAAGGACTAACAGTTCAGATTTCATAAAAAGCATGCATGTCTGAATGGATAATCTAGATAAGTCCTGAGAAGAAAGAGTGAACATTTGACAAACTATTTTAATAGAAAAACCAACCTTTCCAGTTCTGGCAATTTCTCTAATTCCAAACTTACTTAAATTTCTTTGCACTGCAACCATCTTCCCTGGATCTCCCGTCACCTGAATCATCAAGATAACATGATTTTAAAAAATTAATAGTTTTAAGTGTAAAGTGAGAAATTAAAGATAGAAGACACACACACACACACACACAGAAGAAGAAGAGAATTAGACAAATAGGTTTTGCGTCTGTAACAAACCCTCCACCTTGGCACATATTTATATTAAAACAATAGAATATGACAATAGTATCCTCAATGTAACTAAGCAAAATAACATAAAAACTCTACTATTCTAACACTCTTGGCCAAATATCAGCACACATGGACAGTTGTCACAATGTATCAAAAGATGATCAATTTAGTCCTAATCCAAATATCAGAAAACCCAAATCCACGACTAAAGTGTAACTACGTGAGCTGTTTATATCTGTAATTTTCACTATTCCACCTCTGGATGCACTATTAATTTGTAAGATGAAAACTACCTATTCAATCTTAATATCTTGAACATGATTGTAATAGAATCTCCTACTCAATAAATCTCGGACCTCCATAATGATTGGAAACCGAAATTACGCTCTTGATCCTAATAAATGAAAGAAAAAGTAGGGTGAAGCTGATAATGAAAAAGAAAAATCAGTTGTCAAATAAGAAGATATAAATAGAATAAGAGAAGACCAAAAGAGATCAAATAAAATCCAGGGACAGAAGAAATAGTGTAGAAGAAATAAACAATCAGGAAAAATGGTGCTAGGAAGAAAAGGAAGATGATGAGTCTATTGTCGAAGAAGAATAAAATTCAAAAATAAGAAGAGATAACAAAAAGAATCAACTAAGAAGAAGGAAAAGCAAACAGATGGAAGAAAAGAAGAGTACAGGGATTCTCGAACACCTCACACTGACTAATTACTCCAAGAACTCCTCTGTTGCTCATAATTTCCAATGTGGAAAAGCTTTGACAAAAGAAGATTCCAAACCACACCTGATTCCGAGAACTGCAAACAATCCAAAACCAAGTCAGCCCATCTACTCCTAATTTCTCTCCAGAGGTTTACCCTACAAGAACTACTAACCTCTCTAGATGCCCAAACCCCACCCCCCACCCCAACACTGCAAACAGTACTTGTACTCCACCACCCTCTTCCAAAACTTCCCACCTGCACAACATATATCCAAAGCCATTCCCAAGGAGAGGTTCGTTAAAGCTGGTAAAGTGATGAATATCCAAACTACCTTCCTTCATCCGCATACAAATCTTATCTCAATTCACAAGATGATACTAGAATTCCTCGCCCAAAACCACCAGTAAAAGCTAAAAAGAAATAAGCAGCAAGGCTAGATAGAGTGCTTTTGATAAGTGTGAGCTTTCCTCTTTTATAAAGATATTGTCTTTTCAAACCTGCCAACCTCCTTTCAAAGCGTACAATCATATTTCCAAATCTATGGTAGCCTTATAAAAGGCCCCAAGTGGAAGACCTAAATAAGAGGTATGAAGAAAAGCCAATCGAAATCCGATATTCATGGCAAGAACATGTATATTTGGTACCTTTCCAAAGTTCACTCCTACTGACATTCACCTTCATGCTAGCCATTGCCTTAAAGCCCAACAAAATACATCTCAAATTCCTCAACTGATTGTTAAAACCTATCACCTACTTCATCCACTAAACCTAACCCACTACACCACTACCACCTCACCTACTCCACTAAACCTAACCCACTACACCACTACCACCTCCACTTCACCTACTCCTTACCTACTACACACTCACCCTCTTCTATATATAGGAATCATGAATCATTGTAATATATATAACATTTTATCAATCAATAATACAATTCTCTATTTCTCTTTATACATTAAATTTCTACACTGATCTCCTTAGGGCTGGTTTGGAAAATGCCTTACAGCAACTTTTTTGTTGACTTATTTAATTTTCGGCGAACTTCAAAAAATTAAAAAAATCCACAACTTTTAACTTTTAGATCTTACTAAACTAGAAGTCCCTAAAAATGAAAAAAGAAAAGGAAAAAAAATTTAAAAAGTCCACCAAAGACCAAAATAAAAAGTCAATTTTCCTCAGCTAGATTTAAGGGTACGGAATCCTTTATCAAAAAATATTTACGGTGATCAAAGCCAACCTCTACACCCCCAATCAAGCCTTGCATTACCAAAATGAAAATCATGGGGAGAGGATCTTTTTGAGAAGAAAGCAGGTGGTATACCTTTTACTGACACTAAAAATTGAACGGTTGAGAGGCAGTACCTAATCCATTAGCCCCATTTCCACCCAAACCCAATCCTCACCAGCATGTACAAGAGCAAGTCCCAATTCACATTATCAAAGGCTTTCTAAATGTAACAGTTGGAACTCCACTCCTCAACCGTGACTCCAAATAATCATTAGCAATAACCATGGCATCTAAGATTTGCTCCCTACTACAAAAGCATTTTGATTCTTAGACATCATAAAAATCAACACCTTGTCAAAACAAAAGCCAGTCTTTGCCAAAAGTTTGTAGATGCATGCCATCAAAATAATAGGTTGAATGTCCCTCAATTCCACAGTCCTTCCTTTTTAGGAATCAAGCCTTTCAAAGAAGCATTTAAGCTCCTCTCAAAAGTTACGGCCTCATGGAAGTATCAAATAATGCCATCACATCCTTTTTCACCACCTCCCAACTAGCGTGAAGAAAAGCTATAGACATACCAGCTAGACCTTGAGCCTCATCCTTATTGCCCTCTTTCAGTGCAATCACCACCACCTCAAAAAAAAAGGGTTGTTCCAACTATATGTTGTCTTCAACTGAAATCGAGAAAAAAAATTCAAGCCATTCAACCAAGCTACTCATTCATATGATTCCATATAGAGGTTCTTGTAGAAGCTAACCATGCCCTTACATATGAGCTCCATTTTTCTAGTCTCCTCACCTTCAATGACCAAGCTGCCAACCTCTAATGAGCCTCCATATGCTTGAAGAACTTCATATACTACGATCAGCCTCCTTGAGCCGTTGAGACCCAATTATCTACCTGCTGTTAATGTCCTCCATGAGAATCAGATGACCTAAGGACCCCTTTAGCTTCCTCTCTTTGTATCACTTCATCATCTGAAACACCAGAGTTTGCTTCTTTATCATCAATCTCCTTGATGTTGCTCAAATCATAAGCCTTCCTCATCTTTGTTCTATAACTTCAAGTCAGCATTTTCAACTTCCTAGCTATGACAAAGCTAGGATTTCTTGATACCTAGTACCCTCCGCCAATTCTCAACTCTATTTGAACAGAAAAAATACAAAGAAAACTTCCACCTTCAACCACATATTTTCAAAGTGGAAAAAACTCAGGTATAAAGCTATCCTCCCACAATCAAGCAAGAGGCATATAGGCTGATATAGGACCCCAATAGCATATCATTCCTACTCAACACTCTCTTCTCCCATAAGACCAAAATACCCATGGGTCAGTCTCACAGCACCCAAAGCCACCCAATCAACAAATATGTTGTATAAAAGACTTTTAAGCACATCCTTACTCACATGGTCCGTCTTTGATATGAATACATGCAAGATCAACCACCCCTGAGGAAAGCATAGCCTTTACGACCTTCCCTTTGTCAGTATCATTCAGGCATCTCACAGTGAGGAACATAGGCCACATGTAACAGAAAGTGGATGTAGGCATGGAGGTCACCTCAACATGCCTACCACAAAACAACTATCTGACAGAGTATATAAAAGAAGGCAAATACAATCACAATTACTGCAAATTACTTGAAACACTTTCCAGCTAATAGTCCACAAATTAACTTACAAATTGAGTGCAACATTCATACTAAGCACCTATACCAAGTAGAAACATCATTTTGCTCCCCACAGACATGAAGAAGACTGAGTACTTTGATAACTCAGCCATCTCCATGTCCTGTGACACAAGTTAAATGAAAAGACACACACCTGCATCTGACATTTTATAATAGAGGACAACACAGGCAATAGCTACTTTAGACATTTAGCAATAAAAAAACATAGCAGGAATTCAAGATTCAGGTCATGCGTTAAATTTTATTCCAAAAAAAATAACAATAATAATAAATAAATAAATTCCAGCAAAATTTCACCACCATCACCTCAATAGTTAGTGAGTGCTCTGAGATATCCACAATTCTGGCTCTAAAGATGTCCACCAACCACACGACCTGGAGATTATAGCCAAGAAAAGATTTTTAGCAAACTACGTGAGCAGAAAAAAGTAAGAGCAGACACTAAAAGAAAAATTTTCTACACAGACTATTCTCTAGAGAATTCCTGTAACACATTGACTTTGCAAAATAGTAATACATGTTCTGATGTTTTTGCTGCCTCCTGCACCGCTACATCAGGAGACGCAGGAAGTTTCCCATTTTATTTGAACAACTTATAAAGGCTACAAACCGTAAGAAAATTCCTCACTCATCTTGATCCCTGCTTCATCTACAATTACGCAGGATGACAGCAGTAGAAAAAAGAATAAATTTGACAAAATGAAAATAGATATGAAAGACTGGTGGTCACGCTGTTTTCCTTTCAATTTAGATTCATGATTTAAGTAAAGCTTGGTATTACTTGAAGCATCAGTGTAACACGTTTTCATTACAAATTGGCTCTGAAGCCCTTGTATAATTTCATGGTCTTTAATGTACAATTTATGAAAATATAGTTTAATGCAAATCCTTCCAGTATTAAGATTTAGAGTTAAAAAATCAGCCATACTTTTTCTCCACAGGGTATTCTCTCTCTAACTGGAATTCAGAAGCATTACTGTTGCAGTCACAACATTTAAAGAGGCTTCAGAAGCTGTGAACAGCTAGGAAGCATTTCACATGTGACACTTAAACGAACCAAATCCTTTGACCTGCAGACTAAGACTAAAGAATCAACAATGAGTGCATCATCCAAAAAGGTTCTGATCCATAGACCACTTCAATCACCATGTAGAATAGGCGCTTTCAACTCAAACCACCATGTCTGTCACTTACATATTTCATTTTCTTCCCTTTTTTTCGTTTTTCTTTTTTCTCCTTTTCCAGAGATACCATAAAAACCAACCATAAGAACGGGAGAATAAAGAACCATTGTCCAAAACAGATACATTATAGTGCATTCTTTAAATACTGCTGAAGCATACTGGGACTGTTCGAGGGGGGGAAGCATTTTGGTTTCCTTTTGCCAAAATATTCATAGTAACATACAGAACGGTGAAGCATCTCTGCAACATGATCACAAAGCAGCCAGCCAACCACTGGTCATATTCAATGCTAGTTGGTATGATGTTGTGGGCAAGGAGGGTATAGTACGTACATGTGACTAAACTGGGATAGAAGTATCACCTTAAACATGATTTCAGAACCCTGTAACTTGTTATGCTGTTGCTTCTATTTTGAAAAGAAAAAAAAAAAAAACGGACGATGAAAGAAAAGTAAAAAAGAAAAGAAAGAAAGAACGAAAAATACTGAACTCTGAGTTTAACTGGTGGTGTGCACTAATTTGTGTCTTCCTGTGCTAGAAAATCACTGATAACTTTTGTAATCTGTTGGCCCCCTTCAAGGTTCAGTGGATGATGTTGGTTTATGTTCTTAAATTATTAGTGTTGGGGGCCGGTTGCTGAATGAAAGAAAAGAAGAAAGCCTGGATGGTGGAACCTTTGTTCATTATGTGGTGCCTGTGGAGAGAAAAGAACCATTGTACTTCTGAAGAGACAAAAATGGGGGGAAAAAACACAAGATGTATTTATTGCATAGCTTTCACTTTGAAACAAGATCCTCTTAAATCAAATTATGCTGTTAAACATAAAGTGTGCATTCCATTTGCCCACCTCAACAATGACGAGGTTGATGTTTCACACTATGCAGACGAAAAGTTTGCAGTCCATTAACTAGTTTTTTAATTCAATTCTTTCACTTCATAACCTTATGTGGTTTTCTCTCCTTTAATTTCTCTGCTTTCTCCCTTATTTTATTTCCATTAGATTGTAAAACTCTCCATATATATGTGTGTGTGTTTGCATATTATATATACATTGACACATTGAGTCGCCTAGAACTCAATATTTTGTATTTGTTCTTTCTTCTTCAAACACGTTCATCAACTTTCTAATCTTTCTAACAAGAAAGAATAAAAAATTGCCCTCCATTGAAATCCAACATCTTCTAGGAATATAATATAGTTAGTGTTAAATTCACAGTCTAAACCCCACTTGGAAGTATTTTCCACTATAGCTTTAGCCCAACAACCCAGCTTCACGGGTTTGTTCCTTTAAGCTCCAACCCAAAAGACTCCTTTATAATGGAAGTGTCTTCGCCGTCTTATACCCTCCTGGACATCGTCCACAACCAATGTGAGTGCCAACATCCCCACTTTAGAGACCCTGGCTTTGATACCACATTAGACAACAAATCCTAGTGAAAACGATAGCGGAATCAGACTTACCTCGTGTGCACAAATCCAAATCCTTCGAAACCAAGGTGAATTACATACTCCGTATGCATTGATTAACCACAAACAATATTCATTCCAACAGATGAGCAACACCACACAAGGGGCACTATCTACGATATCCACAATAGGGCTTGTCTCTCTTCAATGATGGTAGACAGATAAAGAAAAGCAGAGAGAGCATATTCTATATCAGAAGAGAGTGTCTTGAATACCACATCGTATTATCTTATATGTAAAACATATATCTCTCCCACTATCGTGATAGTGTGGAAATGTATCCTTTAAATTTAGATCCAAGACCCAACCCAATGTCTAACCATTAACACATATCTGGAGACTAAAATATTGATCAACTACAGTTTTAATTAAAAGTCCTATTTTTTGCAAGGTTTTTTTTCTTAATTACCTATTTTGCTATAGGTTCAACATGATTGTGCTTAAATATGAGAAAGAATTGATAACTTTCCTTCTTTTTAAGTAGTTTAATATGATTGCACTTTTGACTCCATCAAAAATTTTGGAGGATGAACTTGACTTCCATTCCATTTCCTTGTTTATCATTTTCTGGTACCACTAAATACACAGACAAGAAAAATGAAATGAATTAATGTAGCTGAAATTGTGACATGGTTTATGACAATGACGTGGTCCAATAGAATATCTACTTCATGATTTACTGGACAAGCTGACTTTAGACAAGCTGGACTCTTCACTTTTGAAGTTTTTTTTTTTTGTTTTTTTTTTGTGAATTATCTTTTTCGAGCTCAATTTTTGTGTTGAGCCTTTTTTAGCTTTGTGCTTTCATATAGCTTTGTATAGGTTACAGCTTTCAACACTTTTGGTACTTTTTAAATAATGAAGCACGAGTACTCCAAAAATATTGCTGTACAAGTACCGGGTACAGGTACGCGTACCGATATGGCTGCACGCATACCGGGTACGACAAAAACGTACTAGGCACATTTTATACAACCTATATACAACAGGTACACTATGGGTACGCCATGGGTACTCCATGGGTACGCAGTTGGGTACGCCGTGGTCAAAACAAAATTTTCATAATCTTTTAGGGGCACCGGAGCAATTAATATTTGCCCATTTTGAAAACTTAAATAAATATGGAGTGTTTAGTAATAATGAAAAACATAAAACGAATATCGTTTTGAGTTGAAACCCTAAACCATTTGAAGAACCAGTGAAGTCGACTTCCATTCGAACAATAGAGTGGTCCAATCTGCCGTCTATCGAAGGCGACACTGAGGGTTGACGGCAAATCTGCTCTCCATCGATGAGTTTCTCTTCTTCTTCTTCTTCGCTGGTGAGCTTTTTTTCTCTCTAGATTTTGTTTCTTCGATTCTTTCAGATTTTTTTTAAATTCGTCATCTTTCTTCAATTCTTCTCTTCTTTTTTTCTTCAAATTCTTCTTCCTCTTTCTTCTTCTTTTTCTTCTTTCTTTAGATTTTTTTTCATATTCCCAATTCATTTCATATTTTTTGTGATCTATTTTTTATTTTTTTTATATTTTTTTCCCCATATAGCAGCTAGAATTTGATGCAAGCTACAACCTTATTCCTCTTTAATCATCTTCAAAAAAATTTGGTAATGTAAAATCAAATCACCTACTATGTGCCCTTTCTTCTTACTGTAGTAGTCTTGTATTGTAGTAGACATTCAGAATTATATAAAATTAAATATAAAAAAATTTAATTACTTTCGTCATAGTATTGATGTTTTAAAATTGTTATTTGAATATTTGAAAATTATATAATTGAATGAAGTGAAAGAATTCACAACTTATTTTGTTAATAATGGTTATAGGAATATGAGTTCATCAGGAAGTATAGATTCAACTGCAAGTATTGTTGGTATTGTTGAATGATTTATTTTTTGGTTTTGTAATTTCTCTTTTTAATTATGATATTAAATTTTGATTTATATGTTGGATGTTTAGCTATAAATTTAAAAATAAATAAATAAAATTAACATACCCCAGTCATACCCGTACTTCATTTTTTTGAAAATTTGCTGTATCAGCGTACTCATATCGTACCCACACCCGTGCTTCCTAATGTACTTCACTTACTAAAAAAACAAAGAGAAAATTGTCTATTTTTATAGTAAAAACAGTGAGTTAAATCATCTGCCAATGAATTTCTAAGATGTCTCAACTGATCTGGAAACAAGGAATTCAAAAGGCAATGGAGAATTATTGTATTTCTACAATGAGAAAAGCAAGTATGGAGAAGCACGATCCATATCACATAACCAAGCTTGAGCAAAATTTTCAATAAGAGGCCCAAGGAGTCTAAGTTGACACCTCTATTTATAGCTTAGTAGCAGGAATCGTCTCAGATGGCAAATCTGAGGAAGAAGCCTGATTATGGGCTTCTGAGGAAGAATTAGAGCAAAATAACGAATCTGAGAAGAGGGTAACGCGAATTTGATGCGAGAAGGAAACACTCTCTTGATCTCTGTCTTCTCTCGATCTCTCGATCTTCTCTTTGGATCGATCTCTCGATCTCGTTTTCCTCTTTCTTCTGTTGCTTGATCTTCTCCCTCCCTCCATCCCTCCCTCCCTCCTCAATAAAACATAAATGCTATTTTATTAAATAAAATATAATAAATTTTATTCCGAGATAATGACTAGTTTTTTAAAAAATATCACTCCACTACTTTTATTTGCTATTCATTTTTTTTAAAAAAAAAAATTATGTTGTATTTAATTAATTAAATATTACATAAAAATAAAAATAAAAATTATAACATATATATATATATGTTAATTAAAAAATAAAATAATATTTATATAGATAAATTAAAAATATTTCAATAAAAATAATATATAAACGCTCCTAATCTACGACTCCTTTACATGGCCACACTCCCCCGCTCCCGCTCCAACTCCAACTCCAACTCCAACTCCAACTCCAACTCCACTCCTGCTTCGTGCAACTAAGATTTATAGCAACATTGCTTCAAAGGGTTAGTGAAGGAGATCTGCTAGAAAATTTTGGCATTATTCAATGAGAGAGAGGATCATGACTTTCAGAGCTTTTTAGCCGATTAAGGTCATTCAAAAAAAATAAATGGATGCATGTCCACCACCCCACCAACACAACAGCATATATACCAAGAAAAGCATTATAGCTAGAATTATTGCTTTGAAAATATTAGATACAGATTTCTTCAGGATATAGTATTATTTTGGCAAACCTCTCCAGAGGACACAGCATAACTACCTCAGCACGGTACGATGGATCAGCATTGATCTTTACAAGCATCAGTTCACGTTCCACCTGAGGCTCCTTTGAGATATCTTCAACCTGGTAACAAGTAAAATGTCAGGTTACAGCCGAAGCAATTTTTCAGAAAAGGAAAAAATAAATAAATAAATAAATAAAACAGCCAGACCAGTTAAAAAGTGCCACAAAAATTAAAATGGGACACCTAACTTCCAAAAACACAAAAGAAAGGAAGGACCCAACAAATAGAGGGTTTGATTGCAGACAGATTTTCACTAAGTGGGGCTTAAAGAAAAATCACAGAACTCAACCAAAGCATTGATACATCCTTTCTTGTTATTCCCTTTTTATTTTTTTATTTTTTTTGTTCTTTTTTGATCGGCGACAAAACAGCAATATTATTAATAAAAAAAGAAGCTACAAACTCTAGAAATCAAGAAGGAATTCCCTTGAAAGGGGAGAAAACCGAACCCCAAAAAGATCCAAGGTAACAAAATATTCTCCCACAAACCCTCAAAACCTTCAAATTTTTGCTCAAAGACTCAAGCATTCTTAATTTCTGACCATTTGACCCAAAAAACCGCAGAAAACACTACACTCCAAAGAGACTTAACCTAGCACTTGAGCCAAAACCTCAAAAATCAACGCAAAGCATATGAACACAAGAGAAACAAAGTATCCAATCCACTTCCACCAAATGAAACAAATGAAACACCTACCACCATGAAGATAATGCTATAAGACAATGCAAAAAATAAATTATCAATACTCTCCAAAAGCCCCCCTAAACATGTCACACCATTGAGAGGTTAAATAGCAATTTAATCTCCTTTTTCAACCATATCATTGGGTATTAAGTGGGCGTTTGGGGTAATGCTAAAAATGCCAGCTTTTGCTAAAAAAGCTAAATTTCACATTAGTTATTTGAGTCTTAGGGTAGTAACGTGATTTGTGGCTATCTATCTATTATTATAAATAGTTGTGTGTGAGGGGGAGAACCCTACGTTTATTATTCAATAATAGAATATCAGTTGTTTCTCTGTCTCTCTTGCTCTCTTTTATTATTCTTCTTCATCTCTAAATCTAAATCTCTAAATCTAACATGGTATCAGAGCTATATCTTCTTCCTTGAAGATTTCTGGTTCATTTTCTTGCTCTTTCATTTTTTTTCCTCCCAGTTTTCTGTAGCAGTTTCAAAACTAAAAAATAAATTTTACTAGCATCATCGACTAGGGCCGAAAATCAGCCCTATGAATTTTTTTAATTTTTTGCTCATTGTTTTATTGTTTTTCCATTTTTTCCTTATTTTTTGGAAATATTGGTGATTATTCTAAAATCCTTGCTCAAGACACTTAAAGCAAAGCTGGTTTTTCCCTTTTCTATCCGTTCTCTAGGGGCCGACTAGTCTAGTCCAGGGCCTGGGGGTCGTTTGTTTGAAGGTTTTTTGAGGCGTCTGTCAGTTTCGGCTCCTCCTGGATCATTGTCGGCATTGTTGGCTTCAGGTTTAACTTGTTTTCTCTCTCTCTCTCTCGGTAATTTACTAGGCCTGAGTTTCTTTTGTGGATTTGCTTCTCTTTGTTTGCTGCTTCTGTGAGCCATTGCATTGTCTCTGTTGTGTATTTTTTGATTCTTTGTGGCTGCAAGCGAGAATAAAGATCCTAAGGTCCATGAGGAGAGTGGAATGACTCGTGTTATGACTCTTCAAGATAGTCCCTCTCTTCAAATCAGTCCCGTAAAACTTGATGATACCAACTACTTGATTTGGTCACGCTCCTACAGTCTTGCTATTGCCACCCATCGTTTGACTGGCTACATTACCGGTGACCTTCCCCATCCTGATGACGACGGTGCTTCGCATACTCAATGGATTTCTAAGAACGCTTTGGTTATGACGTGTCTAATTAATTCTATGCAACCCAGTATTAGTCGGCCTTTTCTTCTCTTGCAGCACAGATGTACTCACAACAGGGTAATGATGCACAAGTATATGAGCTGAGGAAGAAGATTTGGGGCTTGGATCAGAAGGACAGATCACTTGTAGTGTACTATGCTAAGCTTAGTAGTTTGTGGCAAGAACTTGATTATTATCAGAGTTTCTAGGTTGTTAGTTCCAGGGATGCTACTTTGTTTCAGCAATCTGTGTAGACGGAGCGTGTGTATGACTTTCTTGTTGGCCTTAATTTGGAGTGTGATCAGATTGACGTTTAAGTGTTAGGTCATTCTCCATTTCCCACCTTACGCAAGGCTTATGCTCTTGTTCAGCAAAAGGAGAGTCGGTGTAGTGCTATGGTTCCTCCCTCTACTCAGGATCATTCTACTTTGGTTGTTGCTCCTACCACCCAAGACACTAAGCCTAGTCCGGTTCAATTTGGAAGTAAGGGTACATTAGTTGATCGGGATCTGTTGAAGTGTGATCATTGTGGGAAAGACAAGCATAATAGAGAGCATTGTTGGAAGTTGAATGGGCGTCCCTACTCGAGGCCATGGTCGTGGTGGTGCTGCTCGTCCCCAAGCGCATGTGTCAGAAATCATTGCTAGTACTTGTGTCTTTCCCAGGATGAGCTCCACACTCTCAGACGTTTGATGGCTCGGCTTGATTCTCCGTCTACCATAGCCCCTTCTACTTTTGCTTCTTCCAATTGTATTCACATAGGTATCCCTGCTAGTGCCCTTTGTACATCCTTGTCGCTTTCTTGGGTTATTAATTTTAGTGCTACCAATCACATAACAAGTGCCTCTAGTCTTCTCTATTCTTATTCTCCTTGTTCTAGACGCAATAAGGTTAGAGTGCCTTATGGCACTTTATCCTCAGCATCCGGCAAATGCTCGATTCATTGTTCCTCTTTACTTTCTCTTTCATCTGTTCTTCATGTTCCTAATTTTTCAACCAACATACTTTCTGTTAGTACTCTTGCTACTTCTCTAAATTGTTTTGTGACCTTTTTTCCTACTCATTGTGTCTTTCAAGAACTAGCTACGGAGAAAACAATTGGCAATGGTAGAGCACAAGGTGGACTATACTTTCTAGATGTCGTCTCTCCTGCATTACCGTTGTCCTCTGCTCAAGCTCTCCAGTGCACTACAGCTCCTCCCTTCATCTCCTTTATCAGTGACATCGTCGTTTAGGTCACCCTTCCCTTAGTATTTTAGAAAAGCTTTTTCCTTCATTAGATCGAGATTGTCCTAGGAACAATTTTATTTGTGATGCTTGTGAACTTACTAAGTACAAACGTACTTGTTATCCTTCAGTTAATAAAATAAGTACTTTTCCTTTTATGCTTGTTCATACTGATGTGTAGGGGCCTTCCCCTGTGGTTTCTACTTCTAGATATCGGTGATTTGTTACTTTTATTGATTGTTATTCCCGTGTGACTTGGATTTACCTACTTCGGACTAAAAGTAAGGTTTTTCTTACTTTTGACTTTTCCATAAAATGATGACTAATCTCTTTAATGTTAACATCAAAATTCTTCGGAATGACAATGGAAATGAGTATGTTGATGGCGGTTTTCGAGCATAACTTTAAGAGCATGGCATTCTTTATCAGACTAGTTTTGTAGGCACTCGGCATAATGGAGTTGTTGAATGCAAGAATGGTCATCGCCTTGAAGTTGCTCGCTCCCTCCCTCTTGTTTACTATGAATGTTCCTAAGTCTTTTTGAAGGGATGCCGTTCTTACTGTTGCTTATCTTATTAACTGTATGCCGTCTAGCGTCATCTAATTCCAAATTCTTGTTGTACTTCTTCATGTGACTTATCCCACTTCTTCTCTTCCTCCTTGGGTTTTTTGGTGTCAATTTTGTTCATCTTCACCCTCGTAGTTGTGGGAACCTTGATCCTAACGTTGTTTGTTGTGTTTTATTGGATATTCTGCTACTAAAAAAGGTTACAAATTCTATGATCCTCACACTCGCAAAGTGTATGTTAGTATAGATGTCACATTTCGTGAATCTGAGTCTTTTTTTATTTCTCCTCCGCCATCTCCTTAGGGGGAGAGTATTACGAACAAGATTGCGGATGAGATGATGTCATATTAGCATGAGCTATCCTTTTTCCTTCCTAGTCAGCAGGCTATTATTTGTGGTAAGGGGGAGCCTAAGAGGTCTATTGATGGAGAGCCTAGCATAGGTGGCCATTTGGATAGGGTTAATCTTAAGTCTTATTCACAACGTCAGAAAGACTCCACTTGTGTCACCAGGTCAATCATCATCGCTCGTGCCGGTTCCAAATCCATTTCCGACTGATTCTATAGGTAATGCACCTCAATCTATTATTTCTTCAGTTGATTTTCCTCCAGTAGATGATAGTCCAATTGTTGATGATTTGAGTCTTTCTATTACTCTTAGAAACGGGGTGAGGGAGTGTACTCAAACGCCACATTTCTAAATTTGTGTCATATAATTCATTGTCTCCTGTATATCATGCTTTTTTCGTCTTTGTCTTCTGTGTGTATCACCAAGGTTGGAAAGTAAGCTATTCAAGATCCTAAGTGGTAACTGGATATAACTTATCAACAAAAAAAAAAAAGTTGGAAAGTGGATATGGTAGAAGAGATACAGGCCTTGAGCAAGAATAATACTTGGGAGTTAGTTCCTCTGCCTATTGGGAAAAAACCAGTGGGTGTAAACGGGTGTTCACCATTAAGGGAAAGCAGATGGAACAACTGAATGGTACAAAGCAAGACTAGTGGCCAAGGGATTTACTCACACATGTGGAATTGATTATCAAGAAACATTTGCTCCTGTAGTGAAGATGAATTCCGTTTGAGTCCTTCATTCATGTGCTTCTAACTTGGGATGGCCTTTGCAACAACTAGATATGAAGAATGCATTTCTCCATGGCGAGGAAGTATACATGGATGTGTCACCAGGATTATCATCGGAGTCTACAGTTGGAAAAGTTTGCAGGTTGAAGAAAGCTCTTTATGGCTTGAAACAGTCACCTCGAGCTTGGTTTGGCAAATTTTTGAAAGCTATGTTGAGATTTGAATATAAGCAAAGAAATGCAGATCACACCATGTTTGTTAGACGCAATGCAAATAAGGTAACTATACTTATTGTATATGTGGATGACATAGTTACGACAGGCAATGATGAGGAGGAAGTGACACATCTTCAGATGCAGTTGGCCGAGGAATTTGAGATCAAAGACCTTGGCCCATTGAGGTACTATCTTGGGATTGAAATTGCCAAATCTGACAAAGACATCTTTATTTTTCAAAGAAAGTACAATCTTGATCTTCTTGAGGAAACTAGCATATTAGGCTACAGACCTGCTGATTCGCCTATTAAAGCTAATCATGATCTTTGCAGTGGTGTTGGTAATCTTGTGGAGAAGAAAAGGTACCAGAGGCTTGTGGGAAGGCTTATCTATCTATCCCACTCGGCCAAATATTGCCTGTGCAATTGGGATAATAAGTCAATTTATGCATGATCCTCAACACATTTGGATGTTGTGTATTGCATTTTGAAGTACCTTAAATCAACCCTAGGCAACGAGATTTTGTTTTCTAATCATGGCCACTTGAGGTTGGAGACATTTACAGATGCAGATTGGGCAAGTTCTGTATATTACAGACAGTCTACATCTAGTTACTGCATGTTTGTGGAGGAAATTCAGTTACCTAGCTTAGTAAAAAGCAAGCAGTGGTATCCAAGTCTAGTGCATAAGCAGAATACCGAGCTATAGTGCATGGAACTTGTGAGCTTATGTGGCTTCATTCTTTGTTGGATGATATAGGAATCGTTTTCCATGAGCCAATGACTCTATACTGTGACAATAAAGTTGCCATCAGTATTGCTCATAATCCTATTCAGCATGATAAGACCAACACCAAGCATATTGAGATAGACGAATATTTTACTAAGGAGAAATTGAATAAGAGTTTGATGTGTATGCCTTTCGTGAAGCCTGAAGATCAATTGGCTAATGTATTTACTAAAGGTCTTAGCAATAAGATCTTTCATCCTACTTGTTGCAAGTTGGACATGAGAGATATTTTTGCACCAACTTAAAGGGGAGTGTTATATTTGAGTCTAAGGGTAGTTATGTAATTTGTGTCTATCTATTATTATAAATAGTTGTGCGTGAAGGGAGAACCCTAAGTTCATAATTCAGCAATAGAATATCAATCGTTTCTCTATGTCTCTCTTGCTCTCGTTGTTATTCTTCTTCTTCATATCTAAATCTAACACACATCAACTTTTTTCACTCACAAAAAAGTAACTTTTTTGGCAACTTCCCAAACACATTAGTTTTTTTCTAAAATAGTCAAAAAGGCAAAAAAACCATTAAAAATCAAGCCCAAACCCACCCTAAAGAAATGGGTATACAAACAATCCAAATCAACATATAAGAAGCAAAGACTAGCACTTTTGGATCATTAATCAATTTAACGAAGGATTTACAAGAAAACATCTCAGATGAATGAGCAGACCAAATTCCTCTATTAAAAGAGTTACTAGGCAAAGAAACATTTACAAGAATCGATGACTAGAAAGCAAATTCAATGGCTTCACGAACATTTAGATTTCCATAGAACTAAAGACATATTAGAGTTAGAAGAGACCATTGAAGCAATCAGAACATAATGAGCTCTAGAGAAACGATAACAAATGCGAAAAGAGGCAAGCTAAACAATACATTAAATTCTAGTGCCACTTAGTATGGTGATGTGGTGGTTATGGTGGCGATCGTGGTGGTGGTAGTGGTGGTTGTGATGGCAATAAGGTGGTGGTGGCGGTAGGGTGGTGGAATGCGTGGTAAATAATAATATATTTTTTTAACTGCCAACAAAAAAAAATAATAAAATTATTTTATGGTAATTCCATGATGAAATGGAATGAACATTCCTTAGGTTGGAGGAAGTAATAGGCATTCCCACATTTTGTTGGAATAGTCATTCCAATGGAATGACTATTCCCACTTAGACAAGGCATACCAAATCAAGGAAAGGAAACGCAAAGCTAGAATGGGCATTCCATTCCAGCCCATTTCATCGTACCAAATGTGCTATTAGATCAAAGGTCAAAAAATGTGGGGAAGGAATCAAAGATTTCCAAAATAACAAACTAAATGTCTCAAAAATTTGAAGAGAAAAAAAATACAAACCAAACAATTGATTTATTTATGAATTTTCAAATGGAAGACCAAACATAAGATCAAACCTTCAAAACATTCACAAGCTTTTGAAGTTGTTCCATAACTTGCTGTCAAAACCTTTTCAGTTCCAGATACAACTATAGTAAAGAGAGCCTTGTCCTTGTTCAAACCAACAGCAAGGGACTCAATGTTGTATCCCCTCCTTGCAAAGACTCCAGCAATCCGATTTATCATTCCGCTTTCATCACCAACAAATACTGAAACAGTGTGGCGTCTCACCCTGCATATTTAACATGAGACATCCATTAACCAAGATAAGCATATCAAAATAAGCATCCACCAAAAGAAGGGAACGAAAGTAATATCAAGAAAAACATTCAAGAGATAATTAACATCTACATAAATACCTTCCATGATAAAGACAACTTCACAAACAATGTTTATGAATATCTAATAGAAAAACATATATAATAAATATCATGACAAGCAACCTCACATGATTATAATATGTATTATAAAGATATTAAGATTAACATCCAACTCAAGAAATGTCAAATTCATTTATATATTTTAAAAAATCGGCTATCCGCCAGACAATCCCTCCAAAAGTAATTCTGTACCCAAAATCATGACAAAGTTTGGTAGATAATCATTATGAATAATAACTCAACATCAACATCTCTAACACAGAGGAAAAGGAAAAGAAGGAAAAACAGTGATTGTTTAGGATATTGCATTAAGTTCAAAAAAATTCAAATAATATGAGATTTGTAAGCCCCAAGGTTTCATGGTTTGATTTTGGAGATAACAATACATAGACGAAGGATTTGATGAAGTGGGTTCACATGTATTTCATGTTTTTGTAAGAAAAGGAAGAGCCTAGATTTTTAGAAGGTTTACATTTTCAGAGCTTTCCAATGTTCCAGCTTATTGTTGAGATACCGCTGGTTTTGGATGAGCTTGGAGTGCATAACAGGTTGAAATCTCAAAATGTTAGATTTTTAACTAGCACCTACTTCAGACTCAGGCGACCCAAAACTCCTGTGGCTGACTGATATTGAACTCGGCAGGAAAGAGCCAACTCCCTGCTTCAAAAGAGTTGACCAAGAAATGCAAAGAAGGCAGAGATTGCGCCACAGCGAGGAGATGATTCTGGTCCAGGACAAGGTCAACTACAAGTGACAGACTTGTCCAGATCAGGTGCCCAGAATGTGGAAGAGTCAACTCCATTCCGCAAAAAAACTAAAACCGCCAACGGCATTTCAATGGCCAAAAGTGCATTTAATGCACCCCAACAGCATCCAATGGGAAGATGATCTCAAGCTACAAAGACAAGATTTTCCCTCAATTTTATTTCAAAAGATTAAGCATTAATAGTCAAACCCATTAGGAACATTCAAGTTTACTGTTCCCTAACTTTCTAACATTCTTCTTGTCTATGACCTTCATTGTTTTAATCACTCATTGCTGTAATTATTGTTTAGCACTTACTCCAAATCATTTTTATAAGGGTTGTTGAACCCTTATTATTTATTTTTGAGTGATTGGCAAGAATCACTACATGAAAGCTGCTAGGTGTGTGCTATGCTGTCAGCAGAAAACAGAGCATCATTTTCGAGTGTTTTGGGGACAAAACACTCCCTGTTTATTTTGGCTAGCACCCGGGCAAGCAAGCTGGTTGTAAAGCAATTGGATAACAGTGGGAAAAAAACTCAAGCAGGAGCCTTGGGAGCCGAACCACTATAAGTCATTGTGTTTGCTCTCAGTCCCTTCTCTCTTTTGTTATCTTCTTTTTTTTTTTTTTTTTTTTGATATATCTTCTCTCTCTTGTTATCTTGCTAGAAATATTTGAATACATCATGCTCACTTTGCTCTAATACACTTTTTCACTCTTACATTCATATTATTACTTATCAAATTGGGTATATTTACCAGCACTTTCTGGGAGGACTGAAAACGAACAGTTAGGTCAAATGAAAACTTAAAAACCTTAAAAATTTGTTCCTAGGTTGAATGTTAAAAAGGCCCAAAAATATTGCAACCAAGGATTCCAATGCTGCTGCAAGACAAAAGGGTTGCAAACTCTATTTAGCTACAAACCAAAGCTCTTGAATTAAAAATTGAAATTTCCTTAAAGTGATTGATTAGCAAATAGCAAATATCGATTGATTAGACAATCTCCCAAGCACTTGAAAGTCAATCTGATCCCAACACAATTGTATAGATCTATGTAACTACTAAAAGAATCCATGTAAGATCTAGCTAACACAATAAAGGGGCGAGATTTTTAAAGTGGAAAAACCTCAATTGGAAAGGAAAAAGCAACAAAAAACCGCAACAACAACAACAACAACAACAAAAACAACAGAAAAAAAAAAAAAAAAAAAAAAAAGAGAGAGAGAGAGAGGAGGCCAATTCCGCTGGACCAAATGAGCAATTACAAGAGTCTTACAATCACCGGTGAATCCACACCCAACAGAGCAGCCCTCAAAATCTACCAGAGAAATTCACAATTGCCTTCAGAAACCACCATAGGTGAGAATTGACGAAAGTCAACTTAAGCTCAAGCTAGGAAAGGGACGTAACGATTTATATCGGGCCTGTTTGGTGTCTAGCTTACTGTAAGCTAAAAGCATATCAGAAAATAGAAGCCAAAAGCCCTCTCCCCCAACTTCTATATGATCAGTTTTTTTAGCTTATTTATGCTATTTTTGCCTAATAAGGTAAGCAAAAGCTGTAACAAACAAGTAGTTTGGCACAGACTCTCAGCATAAATAAATAAAAAGATATAATCAGCTCATATAAGCTGCACCAAACAGTCCATCAAACTCTACAACACCCTCTCTCACATGCAACCTCATCTTGCACATGGAGATGTAAAAAACCCAACATGTAGATAGACAAAATGCCAACTGAAAATTTTGCAAACAGAGACACTTGAATCCAAGACAGCTCCAAACATGAACTTTGATATGCAATGTTTTTCCAAAAATAAGATCCACATATCCATGAATGCTACTGAGAATTGACTTTATAGCCTAGGGGACAGATCGTGGGATAAAACAACTTTATTGAACTACCCAACATACTTGTGGGTTATGGCTACAAAGCCTTAGAATCATACGCCATGTTAATATTAATTTTATCCCATTATGGGACTTCACCTTGTCCTCCTTTGTTTCTGGATCAATCACACAAGGGGTCTAATGTAGAACCATGTGGTAAAGAAAAAGAAGCAGAAAGAGAACAATAACAACGGCCACAGCCCTAATACAACACAGCCACAGCCCTAATACAACACAGCCACAGCCTTAATCTCAATAATATTAATTCAAAATCACATAATACATTAAAAGAGGCTCTTATTTACAGGCTAAAAAATCCTAATCTAATAGAAAACTTTTTTTTAATAATCGGGTCAGGCTAGTTTGCGCACCTTAACTAATCCCGAGACCCTGAAGTTAACAACCAGGCAAACCTCTTATGGCCCCTTGGAGTGACTGGAACCCAAGACCTTAAATCTTATACCTAAGAAAAAGAAACAAATCAAAAGACTCTTCATTAACCTATAATTAAAAATGCAATAAATATTAAGAAAAATGCCTAAGACCCCCAGTGGGGGTCACTGGGGGTTGTGCGTGTAGACCCGTGATTGGCCCAAAAAAAAAAGCTTTTTTTTTTTTTTCCAGCGAATGGCAGCGCACCACGTCACTGGGGGTCTGAAGCAGCGCTGAAATATTAAATACAAAAATCCTCAAATTATAAAGGGAAAATTGTATTTTAGTTGGACAATGAAAAAATAATCACATTTTCATGGCAGTGCAAGTCTCTAGTGTGTATGATGCAAGTCTTTTTTTTGTCAAACTTGTACCAAAAAGGATATCACTAGGAGTTTAAGACTGTCCCACTTATTTGCAATTTCCCTAATTATAAATGAAGTCTCGCACACGTGCTTAGATATTTGACTCTACATTTTGCATCATTATACTCGACTAAGAAAAAAAAACTCAACGTCAAGTTCGCTTCTAAATATTGAACCAATCCACACTAACTTTGAATATGTTGGCTCAATTTCATTGCCTCATGGGTGATCACTCGCTTCATCTCCATCTTCTACGAACCTGTTCTACAATTTAAGCCCCGCTGTAGTCCAAATTTTTCTTTGGGTTGTTGACAAGGTCCACAAGACAAGACTTGCTAACCCAAATAAAAGTATCAACACCAAGAAACCAACCCGTTCTAACCCATCAATAGGATCTTGAATTCACCAAAAATTGGTTAGAATGTTAAATACTTACATGTTCAAATACACTCCAATTTTGTTCACAACCCGATGAACTACATGTTAGGCTAAGGGCTTTTATGGCAAAAGTTTGCAAGTTTGGGGTTTTAGAACCATATGATGCCCATCAATCAGCTGCAATAATCACTAGTTAGAAATAATTGTTACCAAGTATTGAGTTTGACTAAAACTTAAAGTACAACTAAAAATAAACTCTATGCGTCTATAATATATTACCTGGTGCCCTTATATTTCTTTACCTAATCGCAATGGGCTTGCTAAAAAGGCTCTCAGCCTTCGTATAAATACTCATCTCATTAGTGATCAAATTTTTAACGACGACATCTAGGACCAACCTTTGCATACATTCATAAAACCAATTCATCACTTCATGATCTTTTTGCACCTCTAACGCTTTTGGATAAAAGAATTATGAGTTAAGAAAGTGCGCAGCTGCATGTAAAGGCCGATGCAAATGGACATCCCACCTTTTGTCGATGATTTCGAAAATTTCATTATATTTGTCTTCTTTATGATCAAACGAACTTGCAATGCATTCTTTTGCCCTATCCATTGCCTCATAAATGTATACCATGGGAGGTTTCTTCTCAGTATCAACCAATCTAAGCACTTCGACAAGAGGACCCGAGACCTTAAGGGCAAACACAACATTATTCCAAAATGAAGGTATCAACAAAGTTTACGCCATTTTTTTACCATGTGGCTCCTTTGCCCATTTACTTGAGATCCAGTCTTCGGAGGTGACCATCTTTCTCAAATTATTTTTTTGTTGATGCATCCTAGACAAAGTCAAAAAGGCAATTGTAAATCTAGTTTTTGCAGGCCTGATCAAAATCTTGAGATTTGTATAGCACCTCATCATGTTTAGCAAAGTAGGGCGGTTGTAAATGTAACCATGTACTGCAATACCCCTTTCAAGTGTCTTTTTCAATCTGGGTCCAATACAAGTGTTCATACTTGGCTTCCAAAAACCTCCCTATGTAACAAAGAATTATTATTTTCAAGTTCTAAAATTTTAACTACAAAACAAACTATGAGTAAACAATTTTAAAGTAAGGAAGGAGGAAAGATTCTTACCCGCTAACACATTAGCTGCAGCACTATCAGTGATACTTGCACCACATTCTCTTGTCCAACTGTCTCCACAAACTTATCTAGTAATTCAAATAGCTTCTATCCATCCTTTGAATAGCTAGAAGCATCAACGGACTCAATAAACATGGTACCTCTTGGACAATTCACTAAAATATTAATCAATGTCCTCCCTCTCTTATTAGTCTAGCCATCAGCCATTACGGAACACCCGTATTTTGCACAATCCTCTTTATGATTCTTCATCAAGTCTTCAGTATGTTTCACCTCTTTTTTGAGTTGGATAACCCGCACTTCATGATAAGTTGGTGGTTCATACCAGGACCCAATGGCTTCAATCATTGGTTCAAAACTCTCATAATTTACAGCGCAAAAAGGGATACCAGCTTCATACATCCACCTCGCAAATCTTTACATTGCCCGAGCTCTCATTTCTTTTTTGTAAAGGTCATTCTCATCAATTTGTGTTTGCTTCCCTTTTGCTTGGTCTCTTCAATTTTTCACCATTGATTCAAGATTGGGTGTGAGGTAAACATCCATAGGCCCTTTTCTCTTTGCCATTTTTTATTTGAATTTGGATGAAACATGGCTGCTACTTGTCAACTTACGGCGTTGATTGACATTGATCACAACATCATCTTCATCTACCTCTTCCTCTTCCTCTTCCATGTCCATGTCATCAAAATCAAGCAACATGTTCATTTCTTCTTTCTGCGTCTTTTTTGGCATGAACTCTCTAATCTCCTTTTACGTGAGCTAGACACTTCATGCAAGCGGTGGCATTCCTATAACCTCCCGCGAGATGTTGCTTTACACAATAAACACCTTCATTTGATACTTTACCACAAAAATTACATTCAAACTTCTTTAAGCTATTGGGCTCTACCAAATGGACATGTTTCCACACTAGATCTTTTCTATTACTTTCAGTTATAATTTTCTACACAACAACAGCGCAAAAAGGGATACCAGCTTCATACATCCACCTCGCAAATCTTTACATTGCCCGAGCTCTCATTTCTTTTTTGTAAAGGTCATTCTCATCAATTTGTGTTTGCTTCCCTTTTGCTTGGTCTCTTCAATTTTTCACCATTGATTCAAGATTGGGTGTGAGGTAAACATCCATAGGCCCTTTTCTCTTTGCCATTTTTTATTTGAATTTGGATGAAACATGGCTGCTACTTGTCAACTTACGGCGTTGATTGACATTGATCACAACATCATCTTCATCTACCTCTTCCTCTTCCTCTTCCATGTCCATGTCATCAAAATCAAGCAACATGTTCATTTCTTCTTTCTGCGTCTTCTTTTTTGGCATGAACTCTCTAATCTCCTTTTACGTGAGCTAGACACTTCATGCAAGCAGTGGCATTCCTATAACCTCCCGCGAGATGTTGCTTTACCCAATAAACACCTTCATTTGATACTTTACCACAAAAATTACATTCAAACTTCTTTAAGCTATTGGGCTCTACCAAATGGACATGTTTCCACGCTAGATCTTTTCTATTACTTTCAGTTATAATTTTCTACACAACAAATTTAATAAATGGAAAATAATTTCTGTGTAATGTAATGTGTGATTAATTAATTATTTGTAATTTTTTTCCCCTAACAGAGACAAACTCAAAACAGAGACCAACGGCAATAGAAAATAAAATAAAATAAAAAATAAAATAGAGAGCAATGAAGAAGAAGAAGAAAAGGAAGGAGAAGGAGGAGGAGGAGGAGGAGGAGGAGAAGAAGAGAGATGAGGGAAAAAAACAAAACAAAACAAACAAACAAAAAAAAGTCCCCAGCAACAACAGCAATGAAGAAGCAGCAAAAAGAAAAGGAAAAAAAAAAAAAAAGAAACAGAGATGCGACAGCACCCAGCAAAGAAGAAGAGAAGGAGAAGGAGAAGTAGGGGGGGAAACAACAGAGAGACAACAGCACCCAGCAAAGAAGAAGAGGAGAAGGAGAAGAAGAAGGAAACAACAGAGAGACGACAGCAAAGAAGCAGTAGCAATGAAGAAGCAACAAGAAAAAAAAATTGAATCGAAGCAGCACAGCGAGCAATAGCAACAACAAAAAAAGTAAAAAAAAATATAAAAAAAATAGAGACAACAGCACCCATCAAAGAAGAAGAGGAGAAGGAGAAGAAAGGGAAGAAAAAAAAAACCCAACAACATAGCAAATAAGCAACAACAACAACAAAAACAAAAACAAAAACAAAAAAATGAATCGAAGCAGCACAGCGAAGAAGAAGAAGATGAACCTAAAGACGAAGTTGCAGTCCTTAATCAAAGACGAAGTCGCGACGAGCCTAGAGGAAGAGAAGAGATGACACCTCAAGCTTTCTTCGATCGATTTTAGGGCTTTGAGTCGTCGATTGATTTGGGTATTGAGTTGTATGAGTTATAATCTTATGTGGCTGGACCCTTTCAAACTCATATCAAAGCCATTAGATAAGCATCAGGGGAGGGGGGAAAAAAAAAGACTTACTTAAACATTGCCTTAAGCCTTTTTGCACCTGACCCAAGGCTCGGCCAAGGAGCGACTCATCCACATCGCCTCACCTTGGGTCCCTTCAATCACAGTCTCTGCGCCTTGCACCTAGGTACGCCTTTCACAACACTGGATCAACTCAATGAAAAATGGCTTTCTCACAAAATCCGCTCATGCAGAATTCAGATTCCGCTTGTGCGGATTTGACCTAGACAGCTTTTGCTGAGTGAATTCAACCAAGCGTATCTCCCTTGTCCCGAAACAAAATGTGGTCAATTTTGTATCTAAATTGAAGCCCCGAAAATAAGCTTTCTGATGGTTCTAGCCTCACATCAAGATTCAAAATGTGGAGAAAGAAAAAGGCAAAAGAGTGAACACTACTAAAAACAGATATTCGAATTTGGCATTCTTGCTCTAATCTTACCCAACCAATATGTTAACTCATCAATCAAGGCTCCAAACAATGAGGAGAAGGTCCCAATTATAATAACTAAAAGGTCAAATGCAACCCATAACTTTTCAAAAATCTAAAAAAAATATATATAGATATATATATATAAAGTCACGGTTACCGCTTAACGTAAACAAGTCAGATTTAAGACCCGAGACACTACAAACACCCTAACCCTAAACCCTAAGGAAGCTGACTGGCCCTTGGCTAAGGGAAGCATTATGACCAATGATCTCTTCCAAAGGAAGCTGAAGACCTAATCACTATCTTTGTCCACAATGGTGCATAATGTGTAGGAGAAATGCATAATCAGCAAATCACTTATTTCATCATTACCCTCTCTCCTAATGGCATCGTCTTTTTGGGCTTTGTGATTTATAGTGGGCAGCCCCGAGGGACTGCATACATATGCTTTTAATTAATTTTAGAGACTTTGGAGGAAATAAGAGAGCCAAGTCACTATGGTCCTGCAGCATTTTTGCTATTTTCTGGACCATTTGGTTGGAGAGGAATGCCCATATTTTTTATGATAAGGGGTCGGATGAGGATTCACTGTGGGAGAAGGCGTGTCACTTAGCCTCATTTTGGGCTTATGTGTCTCCCCCGGGATCCCCCTTTTTTCAGTTTCCATAGACGGGTAACGTGTGTCAATCCTAGTCTTAGGGATGTTTACTTATTTGATCTTTCAGTTAGTTTTTGTATCCCTCACTCATTGTACGAGGACATCGTGTCCTCCCTTTGGTATCGTCGTTTCTTTTCAACCAAAAAAAAGAAAGTGTAACACCCTAACCAACTAACCAGACACAGAGAATATACAACACTCCACTATTACATGATTCGTCATACATAAATAGCCAAACTATGCTATATTCTATTACACAAACATCTAATCACTAATAATTCATCAATTAAGATAAATTCAATGTACATGTTCATAGAAAGAATATAAAATTGATCAGTCTGTTTTGTTTTTTTGCTTTTTTTTGGGTCTAAGATCAACGCGAGTTCAATAAACATAATTAATCAACAAAGCCTAAAACAAAGAATAACTTATGTTCACCATCAGTGCATCAGTAAAAACGAGAGGAAAATACTTGTAACACAAAGAATCACCTAATCAGTACCACCAGTATCAGCACCATAAAAAAACAATAATGCCAATCTTTCAGCTATATAACTTAAGTCAACCAAAGTAAATGTTACAATCAATGACGAGAACAACAGCTGAAATTCAGACCAACCATTAATTAACTCCAATCTTTCAGCTAAAAAACTTAAGTCAAACAATGTAAATTACAATTGATGACTAGAAAACAGTTGACATTCACACCAACCATTAATCTATTATTATAAATCTAACAAAAAATGTCAAGCTTCCGAATAGAAGGAATTAATGCACTCAATTAACAGCGTAGAGAGCAAACATTTACAAATCCAAACAAATCAAACACATCAATTGACAAGTTAAATATGAGCAATGTAATTAATTATACATTCGAAAACCCAAATGAGCTTTCATTTCGAAACAAGCTGCTTAACATGTTAACACATGATAACCCTAAACTAATGAACTACAAATACTGTTAACCAAAAAAATAAAATAAAAAACCCAGTAAGTATTAGCACATCCCAGTTGAAAAAAACTAAAAACAAAAAATAAATAAATAAAAATACATGACTAGTGACATCATTGGAGTATGAGTAAGTAAAAGTACTTTGGTCTGGTCGTTGGCGTAGTTGAATCGGTGAGAGAAGATGTGTTGCCATCGAGCTGCTTATCGGCACTGGTTGCAGAGACCACCAGTCTCTTGAGCTCGGAAAAGTTGGGTTTCGAAATTAGGCCTTGAATTGTGGTTGAAAACCCCAACCCTAGGGTTTTCGAAAACCCTAGTTTCGGAGTAGTCGAAACTAGAGATGGTTTCAGACGCTGAATTGATATAGAGTGTGCTGACACGGCCGCCATTAGGAAGAATTGCAAGACTTGGTTGAGGGTTTGTACAATTTCCCACAAATATGATCCAATCTAGTATTCCATTTTGTTCAACGTTATATATAGATTCCCACAAAATATGGAATATGTCGTCTATTTGACGGTTGACTGTTCTTCTTCGCATCATCTTAATCAATTACGAACAGACCTTCCGTACTTCCGTCTTCATGCCCTATTCATCACACACTTCCACCTAAGCCTTCTTTTGGCACGTGGGTATTTTTTGACTTTTTAATTATTTGTTTTTTTTTTTGTTTTTTTACTACATTTGGAATGAATTTTTTAATTTTTTAAAATTTTTATGATAAAAAATAAAATGGTAATAATTTAAATATGATTTTTTAATTTATTTTATCTTTTTAAAATTATTTTAGTCCAAAAAATTTTATGCTAAATATAGTCTAAATCAATCCAAGGGTCATAATTGAACTTAATTAAGTATATCACAAGCCTTTTAAAAAAAGGTAATTCTAGGGTAAATTACACTTATACCTCATAGAATTTAAGATTTAATACATATCATTCTCTGATATTTAAAAAATTAAACAAACTTTTTGTCACTATAATTATTTAGACGAAATTGAGATATTGAACTTATACATTCTTTTTTTTCTTGTTTTGTTTTACTTCCTTTGTTTTGTTTTGTTTTTTTTCCTTTCCTTTCCTTTTCTTTACTTTTTTTTCAATGTAAGCTCATCTATTTTTTTATTAGGAGTTGTTGTATTTTATATAAGTAAAAGGGTTTGTAAAATGAGACTATTAACCACAGAGGTGATAATATATTTTTCAGAACGTCAGGGGATAGGATGTAATTAAACCAAATCTCAGGAGGTGTCAGTGTAATTTATGCTTCCATTTATATACCACCAATACACACTATTACTTAATATATGCGTATAATAAATTTTAAAATTTGAAACTATCTTAGTTTACACCTTAACTTTCCATTACTTGTCCTAAGATAACACATCACTTGTCTATTTGAATACAACTCACATCTAAATAACTTCATATTCATAATACCATAGATTCCCATCATTGGCGTTGAAGATCTCCATCGTTAGTAGAGGGTTTCATTCGAGCAGTGCATTATTGTCGTTTTAGATCTCTATCGTTGTCATCATTTTAGATCTCCATCTTCGCCTTCGTCTCGCCGATACATTGTCAATGTTGAAAGTTTGTTATTCTCACTCTTGATTCACACATTTGATTCTCATCTTGATATGTTTTTCCTATTTTCTTTTGATTTGATTATTGATTCATCTTTCATGACAATTTCTATTTCGAATTTGGCTCAACTTTGATTGTCTAAATATAATATTGTACAAAAAAAAAAAATTAAACATGTTCAAAATATTTATGTTGATTAAAATAAATATGTTTATACCATTACTACAAAAATGTCTTTTTGCTACCATATATTTGTGACTGCTGTGGCTAAAAAAAAATTATTGCAACTACAAGAAGCTAGTTAAAAGTTAACTTGTAACTTTTAATTCATTTTTAATCACATTACCTCTCATATATTTTACACATAAAAAAAAATTAAAAAAAATTAAAAAATTAATTTTTAACCAATTTCTCAAATCCAATAAAAAAAAAAAAAAAAAAAAAAAAACAAAAAAAAAAAAACAAAATGTAAACTAGTTTGGGAAGACTAAATAAGTGCACTTTTCTCTCTCTCTCTCTCTCTCTCTCTCTCTCTCTCTCTCTCTCACTCGCAAGCTATCTTGGCCTCACAGAAATCCAATCAGTGTGAACTCTCTTGACCTCTCAATCTCGTTCTCTATGTCTCTCGGTCTCTCTCAAGATCTTTTCAACTCACTTCCTCAAATCGTTAATCTCAGCTCTCTCTCTCTCTCTCTCTCTCTCTATATATATATATATATATATCACATTTCAATTCGGTGATGTATTTCTGTGATTCTGTGTCATTTTTCACTTGTTTTAGTGCTTAATTGTTGCTTCCTTCAGTTCATCCCTTTGATTCCTTCGTTACTCTATGTGAATTCTTGGTGTTGTACAGTTCATTTTTGTACATTTTAATGTTTTTGTGGATTTGTGAACATAAGTAGAAACTAAGTAGTGATTAGTTCTATGCAATGCCTGATTCTAGACTGAAAATTCAGTGCAGTGGTGATTAATTTAGTTCATTTTATGTCATTTTGTTTAAATTTCCTTTGCGGATTTTATGTGTGGCTGCTTAATTCTAATTTTCCTGATATACCAAGATAGATTTGAGCTTGAACATTTAGATGCCATAACTAATTATGATATTTAGAACTTGATTACAAAAAAATAAATAAATAAATTAGGAACACAAATAGTGAGATTCGAGTCCAAATGTGTGCATTTACTTGTTTTGACAATGTGATTGCTCTTTTGATGAAAAGCTAGTGCCTGTGGCAATGCACAAATCTTTTGATATGTAATATTTGGTCTTAACTTACTCTTACTCTTAATTTCTATTTTTCTAGCTCTTGAACAATTGAAATTAATTGATTATAAACATATACTATAGAATGATCATGATTTTTGCTCCATTTGTTGAGTCAAGTGTGTACATGGTATGGATTTAAATTCAATAGAGAAATTGGCGAGATTGGTATGGTATGTAATCTCTCTTACTTATTTCCAATCTCAAATCCAAGGCAGATTGCAAATACTGTTAGGGAAAATTTGGTCCTACAAGTTTTAGGTTTCGAATTGTTAGATTAATAAAGTAGTTCAGGATTTCCAACACTTCCTTTAATTTTTTGTTTTTGTTTTTTTTTTTTTGTTTGGGAATATATATACACACATGTTGTCTTTGTTAATGTGTATTTTAAATTTTCTTTGTTAATTCTTGATATTTATTGGACACTGTTATAGAATAGAAGAGCAGCTACCAGTTAAGATAGATAATAGAGGTTAAAGTAACTCACTAATGTATCCTAGGGTTAAAATCAAAAAGTTGGAAAGGTGGTTAATTGACACAATGAAATCAAAAAGTTGGGTTTTCAATTTGATTTTGCCCTAATTGTCTTGGTTTTTAATTTTGTTGTTTTTCCTTTGTGATGGTAGTTTTAAATTCTTAATTGGCAGGACTTTTATTTTAATATTTTTTTTTAAATTTAATTTTAATAATAAAATTGTCTTATATTTTTTGTTTGCAATAGTTTTTGATTTTGTGTCACCTATATGTTTACTTTTTAGTTGAGGTTTTGGGACTATTTCAGTTTTTGTGGGCTACATGTTTGTTATACTTTATCTTTTGTGTTTAATCCTAGAGGGTTATCTCTTATGCATTGAAGTAATAGAAAGAAAAAGCAACAACTAATACTACTATAGTATCTCAATTTTCCCTCCCCCAAATTTTTTTGCCGGTCATTTAACTTGGAAAATGCTTCGAAATCTCACACAAAGGCCAAGCACAGTGCTGGACAATACATGGATTTAAAGAGAGAGCTTTTGAGTTTTGATTAGAAAATCTATGTTCAGTCTATTAGGCAATTTTTATAACAGTAAACTTTACTGACTAGTAACTTTTTATATTGTGAGTGTTAATGTCAATATAAAATTGTGGAAAGGTTCTTTCTTTGAAGAATGGTTAAATTTTTGATAACGATTTCATAGATTGCATGATGGAATCTCAAGTGCCCAATTATAGCAGTATTAATCAGGATTAGTTTTCTTGCTTGAAGTCTATTTTTACTTTGAGTGTTGCTCAGGGTGCTACTCGTGCTCTGTTGCAGTTACATACAAATGACGAATTTTTAGAATTCTATTAAGCCTAAACTAATTTTAAAGCATCTTTCCAATTCTGTAAGAACAAAAATGTTTGGCCCTTGTTTTTGTATGAAATTAAACACAATTGAAGGAGTAATTTTGAGTGGAATGAGAACAATTGGACAGAGCATTACAGCATTATATGTTATCTCCTCATTTTAGTTTGTTTGAGAACCATGAATTGTGTAATGAAGAACAAACATTAAGATAAATTCATTGTGCCTTTCTATATTTTTATGTCTTTAGCTTCATACATTCACTGCTACCACATGGGGATTTTTTATTATTATTTATCTTGTAATGATGATGATATTGAAGGCATTTCTAAGGCTATTTTGGTTCCTTCCACTGTCTTTTAATCAACTCCTGGGGTGTTATCACTCAAAAAGCAACCAAATAGGCTTGAATAGTTAATACCTTCACTTTTATTAGCAAGGTAAGTTACTTAGCAAGTTAATGTAGCATTTCGAATATATGATTGAATAGTTTGCTATGCTTATGCTTTTGGGTTTTGACTTTGAGAAATTTAAAATTGTCATGCTTATGCTTTTGGGTTTTGAAGCAGGACAGGTAAACCACCTATCAATAAAATAAATAAGTCTATTGTGGCAACCTCCTAACCAAACACTCTCATGCGTTGTGAGTAATTTTTTCTTATTTTACATAATTGTTGTGGCCTGTTCAATGTTCATACAATAGATTTCTTGTTATCTTAGTTCTTATTTTTATATTTGGGGACTCTCTTGATTCAAAAGGAGGTGAGTTTGCTTTAGGGTGTTGACAAGGACATGAAAAAGCTTTCAATCCTTCTTTCTACGAGTGATGAGACTAATTATTGCACCATCATCTGGTATGGATCCAATGACTTTTCCTCATCAATTTTTATTTTCGTCAATATTTGTTTGTAAGGGTGACATTAGTTTGAATTGGTTACAACTATTATTAATATTTCAAAATTTGAAAAATTTCTCAATATTTAGTTTTGTATTGGTGTTGCAAAACCTATGGGAGAGGAGGATGACAAAGCCTATATTTCTTCTATTAGAACTTCTGTTTCTTATGAAATTGTTGTTTGTAATTTCGTTATGGGTTGTGAGATTTATGTGATTTGATTAATTAGAACTCGCTTTCGATGAAATTGGATTGTGATTTTAACGTGAGTAGGCTATGATGTTCTCACACAATATCTAGTCAATATTCAGAAGGATCCATGATTAAAATATATATGCATATATGAATAAAAAAAGAATGAGTGGCATAGTTTCTCTCTTTCTCTCTATATCATTTTTCATGCACAGATGGTGTGGCTGGTAATACCTGCTTATTGTGATCTTGTAGACTGATTTTTGGGGGTAACTTGCCGAAGGACAT